TAAAAATACTAGTCCAGTTATACATGATTTAAAATGTGTTTCCATTCACTTATTTGATCACTTATTCTGAAGGCATTCCAACTGTCTACAGTTTCTGGAATTCGTGGTTTTATAGAAACAGGAGTACAATATTCCTCAGTAGATACAGGTGTAAAAAAGTCAGAGAGTATTGGCACAACATCTTTTTGTCTTGGCTCTGGATCTTTACTACGAGTTAATCTGCTTGGCAATTGATTTTCATCTATGGATAAGTCTACCAAATCTTTGTAAACTGCTTCATCAAGAGGGAAATCTAAAGCAGTAGAAACCTAAAACACAAAACATAAGAGAATATTTTATGATCTTATAATTGTAAGCCATCACATTTTTACTACCTTTCCATTTATAAGATATTTATATGAAGCTGGTAAATGTTCAATATTAGTTATAACTTTTTGTTTCTTCATTTTATTTAATTTATTAATTGTACACATAATAGAATTATATTCTGGTTTTGCCAATTTTTCTCCAGAAATAATTGGCTTTGTATGACTGTTTTCATCTGTTTCTAAAATTGCTAAATCATCTGGCTGACTGTGTGATACTCCTGGACCTATGTATGGTTGTATTTTAGGACCAATTATATCTCTTACAACTTTACTGTATTTATAACATGGCATAATATCACGAAGTTTTGAATTTAGATTTTTTTTTATTGTAGTTGAACTAGATGTCTTCTGTGTGACATTTAACTTTTTTTTACCAGTGCCAGCAGAAGAAAGTCGATTCTTATGTTTTAAAATGTCTAAATCTGTGGATTTTGTAGTTACAGTTTTAATATTTTTTTTAACAACTGTTGATTTATTTTCTTTTTCTCTTCTACCTTTAGTGTACTCTTTCTTTGAACCATTAATTTTATTAGAATTTTTTGATTTAAGTGTCTTGTCTAAACTTTCACTTTGTGCAATGGGAGAATCTGTAGAAACTGTTATGTCATTGTTTGGAAGTTTAATAGAAATTTTGGGAATATTAACTTCTTTAATATTTGCTTTAATATTCTGACTGTTGTTAGCATCATTTAAAGGATTCTGATTTTCTGTCTTGATAGTGTTTTTATCCAAAGAGGACGAAGTTCCAATTGAACAAGGAGATGCATTAGCATGTAATGTGAAGTTTGATGCATTATCAACAAGCTTTGAACTTTTATTTTCCTGATTGCCAGATATTTCATTCGATTTCACTAATTTAACAGGTTTATCTAGTCTTACGACACTTAGGATTTTCGGCTTATCCTTAATACCATTTTGATCAGTCAAGCTTTTTAATTCTTTTGTTATCGATTTACCAGTATCCGGTTGACAAAATCTTACTTTTGGTCTCGTAAAAAATTTCGTATTCTTAGACATTATACAGAAATATAAAACTCTGAGCTATTTTATTTATAAGAACGTTAATAACGAAGTATAGTACAGCGGTCTGATAACAAAGTACTTATATGAATGTTCAAAACATAACCTTCACGACACAGAGCTTTTGAACGATGTCAAGAGTAACTGTCACTGTCAGAATCTTTTACAGCACTACCAATTTCTTAACAAAACTACAAAGTTTGTCCTTTGGGATTCCCCAGCTTCAATCTTTTTTTGCAATTTTCAACTTACAAAGATAGGTTAGTTATCGAAAAGACTGTAGCGCTTAGCGCTCGTGCATTGTTAGGATCGCAATTTGTTCAACAATTAATTTCTTGTGCAGTTGTTTAGCGACAATTAAGAATACTTTGAGAGAATATGGAACCTTATGAGGTAATTTATTTCCTATTATACATAATGTCTCGTTATGAAAACATTCGTTATAGTAGGTTAGAACAATGCGATTTATTACAAACTTGCATAATGTTTTCATTTATTTAACAGAATCCCGATTTTCTACCACTAGAAAATTTAAAGCTAACGATTAAAACCAATGGTATTGTCCAAAAGGTTGATGCTTTGGTACGTACACTATTGCTATTTAGCAATATGTTTGTGGATATATCAATTGATATTTGTCAAGCTTTTGATTAATAAATCTTACTACTTTGGTATTATATGAGTTTTTCATACATCTTCAAATCACTTTTCATATTTAATAATAACTTGTTAACAAATTCTCATATGTATTAATATCTATGAAATTAGAAAAATGTTATCATAAATGTTAAATTGTTTCTTTCTATGTGGCAATCATTTTAGAGTAAAATATGGGCAAGTGACCACTATTTTTTACATTATGAACCTCCTAATATATATAATGATGATGGATCTGAAATTATGGGAGCAAAACTACGATGGATAGAAATTGTCAATTATATGATCAATGATTTTAAATGGTTACTTAGCCTTCCATTTTATAGGTAAGCATAATTAGTAACAACAGTACCATTGAAAATGTTCAATAATTCTTCTATGAGATTATAATCAAATTTGCAATCAAATTATTAAAAGCTTTCTTTTAACACATACATTTACATATATTATATATTTATGTATCTCTTATTTAGATTTTGGTCAAATATTGTGTTTAATACTTCAGTATTAGATACATTGGTATCTTTTCTACAAGATGCACCGCCATTCTATGCTTTAGAAAATTTTCCAAATTGCCCAGAAATGTTAGAACTTCTAGAAACACTAAGTCACTATGTACTTATAATTTTTGCACGACTTGTCACAAATAAAGAAAGTCCTGAAGAATATATGAACCGTCCATTTCTTGGAAATTTATTATATGAAAAATACATATTTACGGTACCCATCATCTTTGATCTTTGCCAACTTTATGGTCGAGAAAATGCAAAAATAATGGAAAGGATCTTAAACTCTTTATTTGCACTAGAACCGCAGTATAATAATGATCTTCAGAGAGCTGTTCCTTGTCTTATAGAGGTGAGGTGTTAGATACAATATATAGAACAACTAATGTTTTATCAAAACAGAATTAAATATAAGTGTTGTTAGTTTAGGCCTTTGAAAATGTTGAAAGAAAATTTGGTAGTGATTCTATATATACCAATGAAGCAGTTTCACTGTCAAAGCAGGATACTAATTCCTCGAAGCTTACATTATTCCAGTTGGAAGATATGATATTATATGTTCTAGATATATCATCAACTGTTGGTGTGTTTTTAACAAATTATTCTCCAGCAGTGAGTATATTTCACACAGTGGATTTTATGAATAAGTAAGTTAAACTAATTAAACTATGTCCTTATTTGTTCTAAGTGTTCTGAATAGTTTATTTTATCATTTATCATTAGACTTGTTTCAGTATATGAAAACACAATACCTGAGATGTATAAAATATTAAAGAACTTAGCATATAATGATGAAAATATGCCGAAATATATAGAATTAAAGCATCGTCTGGATGTAATAAGGATTGAAATTTTGAAGCTTTTTCGTATTATTATATATGAACCAATATTGACTATTCAAGAAAATTTGTAAGTGCATATGTATATTTAAATTACAAAGTATAATACATCCAATGTATAACATACTATGATTATAACATTTATGCTTAGAAGTACGATAAAGGAAGCAGAGGTAAAGGAACGGGTGGACGAATATCTTAATTTATTAACCTTAGCAATTTCTGAAAAAGAATTTATTACAGATTATGATCAATTTTATCCTGTTAAATTAGATTTGACTATATTATCGAATATTTGTCCTGATGCGTATCCTTTTGTTAATGTAGTACTATTATGATTGCAATGATAGTCAGATAAATATATGATGGTATCTTTTTATACTTAACAAATATTATTCAGTGATACAATAAAATGTAATTATATTGTGAAATCAGTCAATACAATTATTGGAAGACCCAATATTCCAGATACTAGCTTTTCTAATAAAGTAAATGTAAGTTTGAGAAATGGCTTGCAAATTGTATTTTGATGAAGCTTTTACATAATATTACATTTTCATAGGAACCTGTAGCTGCAGCTGGACCTAGTGGTATTTTAAGTCAGACAACTATATCTAAAAACATAAAATCTTCAAACGAGAAACGAACTGTGGCAAAGAATTCTATTGAATTGGCTGTTCTTATTTCTGATGTTAAAGATATTTTAAATCATCTAGATGAAGGTTTTATTGAGGTAATTATTTTAATATGAAAGAATTGCGTGCATTTAACAACATTTATTTTACAGACAAGTTTGGAGTATTACAATTATGATAGTGCAGCTGTGATACATGCCGTACTAGAAGATTCATTACCACCAGAATTAAAAGAATTGATGGAATTAGGGCCTAGTGCACTACCAACCTATACAGTAAGAACATTTTATTATTTGAATCATGATACATAATCTACTATAAACAATGTAAATATTCTTACTATTTTTCTAGGAAACTTCAGTTAAGGATGTAGCTAGTGGTATTGAAAGACTGGATATTAATATGCTTGATAATTTAAAGGGTGATAATATATATGTTAAAAAATCTAAAGAAATCATAGATATACCTAAAGATTACATAACTAAAAAGTAAGGATTCAAGGTTACTCTGAATAATACATATAACACATATAAAAATATATATTTGTAGATAACAAGAATATAAACAAAATTTGTTACAGTTACAGTCTCGTCGAAGATGTATACGATGACGAGTATGATGATACTTATGATAATAGCGATATACGTGGTACACAGGATGATTCGACCGAAGCAGATTTAAGACCTTTTACTATACCTAGAGTTTGTATTTATATAATTCGGTTAAATTATAGTCTTCACTAACACTATTAACATAATTATATAAAAATTAACGAACGATAATTTTAGGTTCTTCGCGAGAAACAAAAAGTTGAAACTGAAGAAGTTGAAACGGAGTCGGAAGATGAAGATGTAAGGAATGACCAAAATGGGAGAGACTGCTTTGTACAAAATCCAGAAGAGGTACGCGCTAGAGCAGAACAACAAAGGCAAATGCGAAGTGGAAGAGGTGCACCGAATGTAATAGGTATATTTGTCAATTTTTATAAAGTGCTGAATATAATTTAATAGTTACACTTAAATACAGCATGCATTATTAGTGTCTTTTTATCAATTCCAGTATTAAAATGATGTTGTTTTCATATGTGCAGGTAATCCTAAAGGTCAAGGACAAGAGAAAGCTGTATTATATAATAGGCAGCAAAAGAACACCAAGAAGGCGGAACGCGCTAATCACAATCGTCGTTCTGGTGCCCAGTGGAAACGAAATCAAGGAATGGTTCCATCATAAATCTATCGATACTTTTACAATATGAATGTAAATACTGCCATGTGATAAATACATTCGTACCTATGTTAATTTTATAGATTCAGTATTTAAATTATCACAACTTTGTTAAGATATTTGTTTAGGAAATTTTTATGATTCTTAATGATCTTTAACTATTGTAAGAGCTCTTATTCTATTCATTTGATTAGTGACTGCTTGTTGGTATTCGTCCTCAGGTACCATAGCACTGGATGGCGATCCTAAAGTGTTTGGTACTGGCATTAAGTGTGTAAATAAATGAGTTGCACTCCCATAGTAATCTAATTGTATCATGATTACAGCATGTATGCTAGGTTTAATATATTCCAATCTCTTGTCTAAAAACATTGGTAGTTCTACAAGTAATTGAGCATGTACAGTCTTCAAGTCCTTAGCAGCTGCTTCTTCTGTTCTGCGTTCTCTTTCTAACTTTGCGATATGACTAGCAGTTCTGTCTTTTTTCTCTTGCAATTTTTTGACACGATTATAAGAGTATTTCCAAGTTGTCACCAGTTCCTCACGTTTGGCAATTGCTGCAGCTATTAAAATGAATTCATCTCGTAATTTTTTTAATGGTTCTATGAAAGTTTTTTGACAGAGAGCTGCCATTTCTTGCACTGTTTTCCCAATCTAATAAATGAGCAAAATTTTCATGATATTTCTTATCGTGTAAAAACAATCTGTAAACTTACCTGTGTTGTTACTGAATGGTAATTTTCCACTACTTTTCTGAATTCATCACTGAGATGTGCTAAACCACAAGTTGTTAGGTTTAATGTCAACCTTTGGTCTGCTCGATCTAAATTTAGCACAGCTTCTATATATTTTTTCATTTCCTTTGTCAATTTCCTAATTGTATCTTCAACACTTGAAAAACAAATAAGAAATTTTTAAGTATACGAAATTTTTTTAATATATTTCAATACATCATGGCAACAAGTACTCTAACAATAAATATACATACTAAATGAGTCTTTGAACTGCAATATCTAATTCTCTGTCTTCTGAATGAGTTAATAGAGGTGGTGCTGGTGTAGGCCTCTGTGTCAAATGATTTTTCTTCAAAGGATTCCTGTATACATTGTAATATTATTTAGAGGTGTTGTAACCTATTAGACCTTTAATTAGACTAATTATAATAGATATTTTATATGTATATTATATTATAATTCATAATAGAATAATTTAGATTAACCTATTAGACCTATTAGATTAATAAATAATTATAAATGATATTACTTACCACGTCATATTATTGCCGTAATTTAACAAATCTTCATAATATTATATTTCATCAATCAAAGTTGTTTTACATGAATAGATTATTACGATTATTAGTTAAGAAAACATCGAACACAGTGACGTCCACAGCAATTCAAAGTCTTATCGTTACTAATCTAGTATTCAATAGATAAAGTACAAGATAAAATGATCTATATATTTTCATACTTCATTATGTTCATTTTTTAAAACTTATCAATAAATATTGAAAGAAATTATGTAATAGAAAAAAGTTGACTCTTGTTCTATTCAAATTTAACATAATACTTCCTAACCTCAACTGTCATATTTCTAACGTCAACTTGACGTTTAAATCTAACATAATTGCAATATAAACATGTTTTTTTTCTTTCCTTTTTAAAGGATTTTATAACTGCAAAAATATATATACGCAAATAATATAGTTGCTAAATATTTTTTATTAAAATGAGTTATACAAAGTTGAAAATAATATAGATACAATGAGCTTTGATATTTCTTAAATTGCCTTACATCTTTATTTAGTATGTACAAGATTAAGCAGAATTTAGTGATCTATTATGATTAATTCGTCTATACCCCAATCCTCATAACTGTTGTCAGGTAAGTAACGTCTAATTATAATTGGAATTTTTCTTTGTTTTAGTTCTTTCATTGCAATTTGCAATGGATCAGTTTCTCCTTCCAACTCAACCATCACAGGAGCACACATAGCTATTTGCAATGCTCTTGTCCCTAATACTCTTGCCCTTTCATATCTAAAAGCACGTATTTAAAGTATTTTTATTATTCTTAACATCAAAAGCTTTTGTTTAACATCACCTACTTTGTCATATATCTTGTTGTAATTCTTTTGGACCTTTGCACTCCACCAGTAGCTTCACCAGCTGCTAATAATTCTATATTTTCTCCATCTTCTTCTTGAGGTTCTAGTTCAATGTTGTCATCATCATCTACATCATCAAAATCATCTGCTACCCTGTAAATGAGGAAAAATTCAACGATCTTGATATACTTAAATTGAAATAAATATAATTGTATAAAAGAAATGTTATACTAGATCGTTAAAATAATTTATTAAATATCTTTTAGGTTATGTTTAACTTTATGTGTAATAAGGTGATAAAGGAATCTTTTTAACAAGAAATCATTCATCTGAAAATAGTTGTACTGCTAAAAGCTTTACGACTATAATTATTCTTCAAAATATCAATAAATTTTTGTCATAAAACTACAATACACACAAGTGGATATGTATAAGATACCAGTTCAGTAAATATTACGTACTCATCTCCATCAAAATCATCATCTGCCATTTTTTTTAATCAAATAAATGTTACTGTTAATACAAATTGATGACTCAATTACTTTTTCTGCAGTTTGTTAAAATATCTTTCGTTGGAAACAGTAATTAACGATGAATACAAAATCCAAGCAAATACTAAACATGTAAACACGAATTGAAAATACCACTACTCTCGTGTAAAAATTCCTAGGATGAGTATCAAAGATAATTTATTTGTGGAAATGGAAAATAAACAGATAAGTTACAGAAAATAAATAGACAATAGAATAATTATGTAGAAAATTGCAAATTAATATAAATAATATAAATAATTATAAAAAACTTGGCGATACTAGCTGGACAATTACAGTAATTTCTATAGCATCAAATAAGTTTATTTAAAAATAACATTATTCAAAAATGATTGTAGTACCCTTAAATTTTATTTATAATATTTCGAGACAAAATTAATATTTTATCTGTGTTTTACAGGATTGTTTCTGCTACAATATCACGAAACTGTAACGGGAATCGCAGGATCTTCAACACATGCAAACTACATCAGTGATATTAATTCTAATTACGTCTAACTCTAATTACGTATATTTAATTATTATATAATTTTTAAAACATAATAAGTAAGTGAATTTGAATGTCTTATAATTTATCTTTAACTTGGTCCACCTCCAATCCCCTTCCCTTCCAAACATTCGCAAGTTAGAATACGGCAAATGTGAAAGACTCGGACATTGTCTCCTTTTATCACCCCTCATATAGTCCGCCTTTCTCGCACATTATCGCCCTCTTTTTCTATTGTCGTTCATATCGTCTGTCTTAGTTGCACACTATTACTGTATCTTTCCATCGACCTTACGGACAAGACATGTGCTGCCATCTACTCATGAACGCTCCAAGTTTCAGTTCTGTCCTTCATTAATAGATGGCAGTGCATGAACTGTCCAAGTTACGTTTCAGAGCAATATGTTCAAATTTTGCCTTCGGACAAGACGTGTGCTGCCATCTATCTATGAACGCTCCAAGTTTCAGTTCTGTCCTTCTTTAATAGATGGCAGCACACGGTTTGTCCGAAACACGTTTCAGAGTTAGGAGTTGGATTTTTGTCTTCGGACAAGCCATGTGCTACCATCAATCAGTAAATGCTCGAAGTTTCAGTTCCTTTGTTCCTTAATTGATGGCAGCATATGGCTGGTCCGAAGACAAAAGTCTATTTGCTCAGAAGCGCCCATAGAAAGAGAGATAAATAATGCGTGACAAAGAGAGACGTTAGGAGTGACGATAGAAAGAGAGAGATAGTATGCGACAAAAACAGAGAATACGAACTACGATTGAAGGAGAGAGCGATAGTGTGCGTCATATCTTCACGTTACTTCTCATTGAGGGATTAGGGTTGGTCAGTCTGGGATCACTTGGCCATTAAATGATTAAACAGCTGATTAACTTTAATTAAACGTTTACTGGAACGTTTTAGTTATATAGAAACCATATGAATTTTGTAAAATTCATAATTTCGCTATTATTATTCGCTCTATCTAACGCGCACGCGACATATGTCTGTCCTCGTCGCCCACTATTGCTTTCCTTATCTACAGACTAAAGATATTTCGCCATTTATCGAAATTGTCCAGAACTAGAAACATGACGCCTTTTCAGCCCGTTTCGAGGGATAGCAGAAGCTCTTTTATTTGTAAACAAGGAGCGCTATATTGTGCGACAAGGACGGCAATAACGATTAGTTGCACCGTTTCACCGCTACGTGGTTATTATTGCCTCAAAAAGTAAAAACCAGCAAAGCTACAAATATAATTCACGAATTTTTACGATTGCGTGTTTTCGATTAGGCCATAAACTATTTTCCAGTACTGAATCTGTTTGGATTTCGTATGTAATAAATGATTTTCAATTATACAGGGTGGTTGGTAACTGATGGTACAAACGGAAAGGGGGTGATTCTACGCGAAAAAAGAAGTCGAAAATATAGAATAAACATTTTTTTTTTCAATTTTTCCATCGTGACAACGATCTACAGTGAGATCCGTTATAACGTACCGAACGCGTACCGAGTGAAAATTCAAAGTCGATTTTCTCGAAAACAAAGCCTCGAACGAAAAATTTTTATTCTATATTTTCGACTTCTTTTTTCGCGTAGAATCACTCCCTTTCCGCTTGTACCACCAGTTACCAACCACCCTGTATAAATTAATAAAGAATACTTCGCGCACTGTATAATTATAATAACTGTAGAATATTGTTCTGTACGGTTTATACATCGAAATATGACTCTGTAAGCGTACGGAGTAAGCTTGTAAATACGTTAAAAGGTTAAAAATATATCAGAACAGGTCGTTAACAAATGTAGTTGGACAAAAAATAAACCATTCATCGAATATTCATAAAAATGACACCAGATGGTAGCTAAAAGATTCGCTTTACACGCGCAAACGCAAAAATACGATATTAATAATAAGGAAGCGAATATGAAATTAATACAAAAAAACATAGGCTTAATTCGTGATCATTTCGAAACACGTCCTTACTAAATAATTAATAACTAATTATTTAAAATAAAATTTCCCATGAAAACTAGACACGAGTGTTTCTAAGACCGCCTTATCTTTGTAATGCTACTCCGACAGTGCACGAACCAATATCAGAAAACGTGTAATTTATTAATTTTCGTCGCACGATTTAATTTACTATGAAGTATCAGGAGCACATAACCTAACTTAACATGCTTTTTCCTCACCGTCTCTCTTTTCCTATCTTTTCTTATCTTTTCCCTCTGGTTTATGACGTCACGATATCTATTCGTCGACCTGTTAGCTCATTCTACGTTACTGTTACTAAATCTCGATTTTTAGTTGAAAATCATTCCCTCGCCAGGTGGCACTCATCTCTGTTTCCTATTCTTATTTGAATTATTAGCGGGAACGTGTATATTTTTAAAAATGCTACAGGTACAACAGTTTCTGTGAAATTTTGTCTATTAAATAGCGGAATATCTTGAAATGTAACAGCATAATAAAATAAAGGAGCAAATGAATCTGTAAACTTACGGACAAGAAAATAGAGTAGACGGTGAAATAATATACCTAGCAGATTTTTTAAATTGTCACAGTGAAGATAGTCTTGTGCTATCGGATAGCAGAATATTTTGAAATTCGATTGTTAAAAGAAGATAAAATAAATTTGTAGATTTATGGATAAGAAAGAGAGCGTTAACTTTTATTTCTAGGGAATCGAGTCTTGGAAGATGTCGGTTCATTTTAAAGATCCTTAAATTATAAAAATCCATGCAAGAAGTTATTTGAAAAGGAAGAAATAGAGTGTATTAATTAAGATGTAATGTGGAGGATAGAAAACTCTCAAGAAGTAGAGTTTTTCTAAGAAACAGGTTCGTTATTAGGAATATCAAAGATAATTTTAGAGATAACTAAGAAGAAATTCATTTTTACATAAAAAATTATTTATCTAAGTCGTGTTAGGAAAGAATGTTGAAAATGATGAACTATCTTTCATGCTAAAGTTACTTGAGACATAACATTAGTCGCGACTCTCGTATTCGAATTCTAACGCTGCTGGTCTGATTACGAGCCCGAGAACACGTGACGAATCATCTGCTCGAAGTTTCAAAATACAATTTCATTACGAACACCTATATCTACTTAGATCGATAAAACACGATGCCAGCAAAAATGCCAAGAGCACAGGTGTACTGTTACGCTTTGTTCTACGTTTATGGAAAAAAAGTAAAAAAAAAAAGAAAAAAAAACAAACGAAATGGAAATCCATCGGCCGCCTCTGTTAACAGTTCCTGCGTTTCCAATTTTTTGATAGTCATTTTAAATTGGTATTTTCGTAGACTCATGAGGAAATTAGCAATTTTTTTTACTGGATATTACGTACAGGGTAGCCCACGAGTTATATTCCTCATTTAAAAATTCCACAACTTCTTTTTTATTACATGTTTCTCAAATTTTTGTTTCAGATTCTGGTAACTCGTTCTTCTCGAAATTTGTAATGGAAAAATTCGCAACGGAGCATCGAGTAAAAATAATCGAATTTTATCTTCAAATTCGATGCTGCATTATACTAACGTTATATTATTTTATTCTTAATTAAGAGGTTCAGATTGGTTTGTCTCAACAGGTCGATTGCCATACGAATTTTATACATTTTACACCGTAAGTCGCGACAAATTGAAATATACTACACCGTACGGTTTAATCTTCGCAGAATCTTCTGTTATATTTGCTCATCTTTCTCTACGAATATCATCAAATATTAAATATTAATCACTACAAACAATTTAGTAACTTGAGTCACCGATGACTACCAAGACACTCAACGTACTAAGATTCGGAGAAAGACGAGTAGAAACGTGGAAGATCTTCTTTCTGAATGGTTCACGTGCCAAACACAGGACGATATTCGCTAAGTTGGCGAGCAACATAGAAACGGATCGTCTTATTTTTCCATTTCCTGTCAAAAGCGGAGCATGCTGACGCGGTGGAAGATCGACACCGGCGAACACTGACCTCCCTCTACTACTTGAGCTGTGTCCTTGGCCTTGAAACGAGAACGTGTTTCGGGAGATGAAATCCAACCGCACAGGTGGAACGATAATTGCTCGGCCGTCATAGCGAACGTAAGGCTTACCTTTACTTTCGCTCCGTTACGGAATCAGAGAACTTCCACACGAAGAGTAGAGTCATCGTGTTAAGTAACGCGAGACGTCTTCTTCTCTCCCAGCAGGCTGTCCAATGGATGCTGAAAAGAAAATTGGCGAGTCAGTGAGGAAATTTCGGTCGCAAGATTTGGCAATATTCCAAATATTTCCACTGAAAATGCCCAATTAAAAAACGAATAATTGTGATAAAAATTGGAAGATTCAAGGGAGTAGTTTTACAATTTTTCTATTATTCTAATTTTCTATTATGTATTTGAATGAGAAAATTTTGGGTATCTTTGCGTTGACCGTAACGAATTTATAAATAAATTTATAAGAAGATTTATGTCTAAGAAGAAGGGAATTTTTTAAATATAGCGTTATGCAATCTCCTAAGAAACGGAAGAAAATTAATTCCCAAGTATCGAGCAAGCGATTCGCTAGGAAAGCTTTAATTTACACGAAGAAAATTACCCAATTTATACGTTGAAGTGTCTCGGTTTATTTATTTGCTGACGCAATTAACTTCAATTGAGCTCGTGCGTTCGCGCTAATGTACTTCGTTCTGTTCGCTGAAGGCTGATACGTTGACATTCGTGCATTTTTAAGACTAGATCTTTTCCTTCTGTAAGTGCATGTTATTTTTTTCAACTCTAAGAACACGCATAAGCTCTTGTCAAAATTAATAGTGCCTGTCGTTAAGATAGAAATATGATTACACCTATTCGAATTCATCTCATTGTAGTATTATATTAACTCTCAAATACAAAGTGTTATCATTTAGCAATATAATCTACATTTAGTAAGCAACGCTATCTACTGTAAATAGTACGAATACGAATTTTGTATAATTTTATGATGGCCCATAAATTGTCAATTTCAAATTGTTTTGTTCCACTTAAAAAAAAAAAAAAAAACCATGCATCTGGGAATCAAAGGCTAAAGATACTAATGTTGAATCTAGGCAAATAATAAATTTAGCGAATAAATTTTGCAACAAATATCTTCTAGATAAACCTCTAATTTTGAAGAATGCAAATCATCTGCGATAAAACAAATCGTACGAATTATTTCCTATATGAATCACAATATAAGTAGGAAACGTCTTAGGATATATGAATTACTTCCTATATGAATCATAATATAAGTAGGAGATGTCGTAAGATATTGTTTTTGAATATAAATCTTTTATGACAGATGTAAGTAAGAATAGACATGATACAAGTAATGATCATTTTGATCCGCTTTAATTAAACTGGATCTCAAGTTTGTCTGTCTCTAATCCATGAAAAACCTGTCGACAACGATCAACCTGACCTATGACTTATGACACCGATTCAAGGCCTTTTTGATTAAATACACAATAATCTACCGACATTTGGCCATCGCTTCCGCTTTGATGACTTTCGTAAACGTTCTTCCGCATACCATGCATGTCCGACTTAGACTTACAAAATTGTTTAGCCATCAGCATAGACAACAGGAAATTCAAGTATTGAATACAGTGGTTGCTTAATTTCATTGATTAATCGACTCAAAGGCCAACGTTGCGTTTCATTAATCAGGAATGCAACGTTACATTTTGTAGCTGCTATAGGTTGAATTACCTTTCACGTCATCACATAGCGTTATTTTGGAGGATTTGGTAGTATATGTACGTAAATATTTGACCAATTGCGATAGAAGAATTTTACGCATATGTCATGTGTGCGTGTGTTACATAAAACATTTTGCAGTTTTATTGGTACTGTGGCAAGTCAGGATTATCACGATTGTTTTGGTGTTTGAAACAAGTCTGAAAATGAATATAGAAGTTGAGGAGCAGTTACAGCAAAAATTTATTTAGTTTATTCGCGTAGCATGAACGATCGTCTTAAGCATACAATAGGTATTAAATATGCAATTTCATATTTTTACATAGCTAAAATAACCTACGAATCTACATAGATTTCTACGTTTCGATATTATGATATTTAATTATTACAATCGTTGTAATATTTAATATTGCAACGAGTATTGTACTTTATATATTTTATTCAGTTCTGCATATTACATGTGCACTGTGTATTTCTGTATCCCACAAATGCATCAACATCGGCGCTCTACTTATTGATATAACAGACAATTGACTGCATAAATACTTTTCTGACCTAGGTGCTTACAAAACATCTAGAACCTCGATCGACGAAAAGTATTTCTACATATTCGTATTTTCCAATGAAACTTTTCCGGCAGGTCCTGTATTTTACTTCACCGCGTCAACTATCTGTAGTCCTGTGAAACTGTTACTAAAAGGGACGAAGTTAAACGCTAAAACCAACTAAACGTGACAAAATGGCAAATTTCGGATTTTCTCTTTTTTTTTTTACAATTACCGAACACATACAAATATTTTTGGCAAAATTAATATTGATTTTCATTTAAACAGAGATATAATTCGGGTAACTGCACCTAATACGGAACGCACCTGATTCGAAAAGCTTCCCAGAAAGACGAACATACTTCCTTTCAATGAAACTAACGTTAAAACACAACGAAATTAATACATATTCGCTATTTGACTTGTCTCCCCAGTACTTTGATACGCTTTTAAGTACAAGAGTCAGTCGCATTCAACGACAGATTTTCAAGCAAAACTCAAACGTGACTATGCTTGTCTTTTGCTTTTAAAAATACTTTACGCTATTGCCGATTGATTTTGTTGGTTACTTGCCGAGATATTGTAGTGTTCCATATTTCCATATTTCCATATTTCTATGCGTTTCTATATATTTATATTATATGTTTTTTTATATTTCCATATTAAATCTATGAGAGATTCTAGATTCCATAATAAGTCTGTTTACGTTACTTAATACCATTTGAATTATACTGATTTCTATACAGAAAATTTAGGTACATGTATTACAGCAGTAGTTTCAGTGTTGATGTATTTGAATCCAATTAATTAGCATTTATAAATTCCCCGATAAATACAACCATGTACAAATACTTTTGTAGCCACGATATGACTTTTAAATTTGTTTCGAACTTTATGTCGTGATTTCGTAACCACTGTACGTTACCATACTACTTCTGAGTGGCTCATAATATTCACACAAAGAATTCATAACAAAGGAAAGAAAAAGAAAAGGAAAAAATGTAGCACCCGGGTCCCTGTCGGCATTTACAGCTCGACCAAGCTCCGATACGTCGATGGAACGATGTATGTACCGATAGCTGATTCACGCGACGAGCTACGTTCGCTCGGACCATTTTACGCAATGGGTTCCTTTATCTGTCGGAATTCGCCGGCAGTATATATGTTTCAGCGTGATCGCGTGCCGACAGACGCGGAATATCGCCACTGAGCCGCGGATGTGAATGGTCCACGACGATCGGGAACGAAGAAACTCGTGTCTGTCCACTGCCAGCGGATGAAACCGGACTTGCATTCAGTGAATAACGAGTCTCCGCGTGGCTGTCCTCCCGGCTGCAACTGTACCAGGTCATCGTCTGCGTTTTAACGTCTGTCTGGAACCATTCGAACAAAGAATCTTCAATCTTGGTACATTGGTACACTCTTAAAATATTCGAGAAATATATAAAAGAAAAAAAGATTCGTTTGGAAGGAAAACATTTTGTTGGATGTTTTGTGAGATAAAACGAAAGAAAGATGCATATATATATATATATGTGAGAATTGATTGAAGGAGAAGGGAAATTGTGGTTGTGAAATCTGTGGTTGGGAAATCTGGGAAACTGTGACGCGAATGATTGGTGGATATGGAAGCATAGTGAAAGGAATTGATTCACAAGTTAGTTTCAGGTTGTTTCTTTGTGGAGACGCTTCGGCGATGAGTTTTGTTGAAGAAAGTGAGTCTGTGTGCTTACAGTAGAGATGTATATGTAGACTGATTTATAATTTGGTATCTTTAGCAAATTATTCCGCGTACATTTAACCCAGATATGTTAAAGTTTCTTTCGTAATCTTTCTCGAGATATCGACTTAAGTCGATTTAAATTGTTGCCGGAAAAATAATAAAATACAATAAAATTATTTTTCGATGATTAACCGAAAAATATATTCATCGTCGTTCTAAGATAAAGACATGTAATTAGTATCGTAATTCGCACAGTTTTTTGTGCGAGGATACTTCAGTATTTAATTCTGTGTAATTTGCGTATGTAAATATATATATTTATATTTATATTTATACTCAATTACTGGCATCGACCATTGACTTAGCTTTGTTATTGTTGACAACTTCTTATTAAAGCAACATTATTTTATGTTTGAAATATCCTCTGACAACAGTAGCTGTTATCGTTCATGTGACTAAGGTCAATTCCGAACAATTTTATATAATATTCATTTTGTTAACAGAAATTAATGAATGGAAAATTTATCGTAATCTACAATTTGAAAATTTGTGATATTATCGTTCTGCAAATTACTTCAGTAAATACATTTAATTCCTCAATGCACAGATTTGCCTGAATTCGCTAATGAGGATGATTCTATCACTTTCATGCATGCATTTTGATGTATAGGTGCTTCAATTTATAACATGTAGCTTAAAGCCATAAAGTTTAATGGCTAAAAATATCAGCCAGACTAATTGCAAGAAAGATCCATGTAATGGGCAAGTGCGATAAGAAGATACTTGCATGACTGGTCCAGAAAATCGACTTTGTTTTTTGTATAAATCAAAAGCACAATGCTTCAAAACCATCCACATAAATTTGTGGAGCCGAATTCGAAAAAAATAACCAAGTTGAAACTCGTTTAGCAAGGCGCGCCAGAGCCTGATGATAAGCGTGTGTAAAAGTCAATAATATGCGCGCGATGTATATGAAATGTAATATTGAGATGACAAGACAGCGTGATAATCAATAATCTAATCTGATAATCTGCACATATAGGATCGTTGTTTATCTGACTGCAATAGTTTATATAAGTCGGTTTATTTACCTGTAATTACATTTATTTGTAAGTATGTGTTTTCGAACTTTACTAAATCTTTAAACGCGTCTTTGCACAATAACAGGAAATAATTGGCTGAACAATTTAAAACGAAGTTTGTTTATAATACCTTCGATCTTTATTTTATTTCTTATTCAAATATTCCTTTAATCGATATAACTCAATTTATCTATCGAGAAAATCTCATTTTCCTTCGAAATTGTACAGCTTGTGTAATTTTTCATACTTGTGTAATTACTTGTGTAATTTTTCATACTGAAATATGGTACGTATAATCTCAGCGCAAGTTATGCAACCTTAAGAAACTTTGTAATTTTTAGATTCTGATGAGTGTATCAAGTGCAACACTGCATGCAAACGATGATTACATCGTTGTAAAACATGACAGGGATTGCATACGATCCGATATAACAGTGAAGGAAGGTCAACAAAGCAACTTCTATTTTTTAGTTCACGAATGTCTCTTTTTACTCGTAAAATAATAATCTTTTCTTTGTTAATAATTTTCTAAGGAAATATAAAAGAATCATTCGATTTTACTGCTGCCACACGAAAATCTTCTGTTAAGTGGTTAAAATACTCAAGTATCAAAATATTAAAGATTACACGATTTGCAACACGACTACGTTATTATAAATTTGTTTAAACCCTGCTGTGTTCTTTCGATCATTATCGATCCAATCGATTTCTTCTAACAAGAAATTTTATTTAACATTTGTTTCCTAAGTTTTTTATTCTCTAGTAAGGAATATTTCAAGCTCGAGCAAGATATGGAAACGTTGTTTTAATATGCACGATACTTCATTTCAACTCTATGTTAAATATTTTTTACAAATATTCCAAATACTTCATAAATCAAATCAAATATTACATAAATCCAAAGTCGAAATATAAAAGTTCGAAGATTGCAAGAAGTTAAATACATGTAAAGTAATAATTTACTCATAATATTACACGAGTCAGAGTATGATTTAATATATGTGCATTTATATCTAGATAAGTAGAGAGCAGTATAATAGTCGGAATATTGATTAAAAAAGTAAGGAAATATTGCGACATAGTAATTTTTTGTTTATATCAATCGTGGGGGAAGGGAAGATCGGGAATTTTTGTGTGTAACTTGGTTATATAGTTTAATGAAGTATTCCTTTGACATGAAGGGGAGATGAATCTATGGCAACTGCTGGAGGAGGTCGAGAACAAGAATTTTTTTAATCGCTGGAGAGTTAACTATTTCCTGTGGAAAAAGGTCTTGCTGGTTTACTTAGGGGATTTCTGGCTTATGACATTATTCTCGGGAATGTGGGACCCGTATTTGTGGGAAGAGCTCAGTGATTCGGATGAAGACAGTCCATTGAATTCTTTGTAAATTTAAAGAAAAAAAAACGAATATTTTGGAAGAATTTTGGTTTAAGGTAAATTAAATTTGAGATTGACTGCTGACTTAATTTTCAAAATTTTTGTGCAATATTTCTTGATAGTTAAATTATTCGCGCTGCTGTTGAAGCATTTAGCATCAAAGAAATCTGCTTCTACATAATTTACAATTTATTACATTGTTTAACATAGACAAAAATTCGGTTTTAAATTAGTTAAATGATAAATTATTTGCTATTGAAAACATCGAATATTAAAATATTTTGCAATAATGCCGTCATTCGAATTCAATCATCGAGAGTTTTGTGATTATTTTACAGAATACCTTATCATTTTATCAGCTCCGATCAATCTGAAATCGCGATGATCGATGATTGCTAATTAGTCAACCAGCGACTGAGTTCATATTTCATATCAATTTTTTATGTTTATCTCACAGGTATGATCGAATCATGATATATTATGATATGACATATAATATGTTAATCATGTGCTAATGCTTTAATCGCCCGACGAGAGGATATTCTCCTTAACGAAGGATAAAGTTAAAGAGAACTTGTATGTAGACGTAAAATAATTAATTAGATGAAAGAATACAAACTAAGTTAAGAGAGCACGAGCGAAGTGACGTTTAAAAGAATACTTACTACGACATATTTGAAAATGAGTAAAGTAAACGGAATGAATGATTCGAACGGGCACGTGGAGACACATTTGGAGACCAAGGTAATCTTGTTATCTAAAAAATATTTTCATCATAACTTTTTACCACCTTATCGAATCTCTTTCTCCATTACGATAACTTCTTGTATGATATCTTTAATTAATTTTCACTGCAGCAGTACTTTATGTAATTAGAATTATTGTCAAAATAATTATCAATGGAAACTATACATATTTCTAACATAAATTAATCTGTACATAACATGAAAAATAAGTCCAAGACAATACCAAGGAATTATTGTTTAATCAATAACAGATCGATAATTACCAAGGGTAATTATCAACGAATCAGGACCAACAACCCCATACATATTATTGACGCCACCATATCTCACTTTCGCTTTTAGATATTTAACATTAAAAATTATTGTATGTTCATACACGGATTGTTATCTCTTTCTGGTATTTTCAAATCCGATCAGTGAATCTCAGAAGACAGATAACATAGAGTAATTTCAAAGTGATCATTAAGTTTTTTAACTTCTGCCAGTAAGTGCACGTCATTACGTTATCACAGCCTTTTACTAGTTGCTTAGTACCTGCAAACGTTCAAAAAAAAACGTTGAAGGTCACAAACAAAGTCAGGAGTATTAAGTCATCGTAATTTTAAGTCAGTACATTAAGTTAATACATAAATCCATATCTGCCATCGTAGAAAAGTAGATAACGCATGAAAATTCTCAGTTTACTTTATGCCGTGTACCATGATTATCGAAGGATGTAAACTGAATGATTTTTTCTTTATAGTTCGTACCAGATCCCGAAGAGGAAAAAAGATGGGAGAAGAAAGGTGTCATGTATCAGGTAGAATGTCTTTTTTTACATTTAGTTTATTTCAATTAATTTATATCATTTCAAATAAATAATGCGATGGAATAAAATTTATGGTATCTATGCTGATAGAACGTTCTTTGACTTTATAAAAACGAGCCACGTTTTCTGAATTACTATTATAAACGCTGTTATTGCATTTGCTTATGATAAATAACCATGAAAGCAATTACGTTTGGAGATAGAATATACAAATCAGTTTGCTTAATATCATCTAATATTACGGAATAGAAGAATTATAATATAGATTGAGAATCGATGAAGAGTAAAATAAGAAGTCAAAGTAAGAAAAGTTGGTCAATTAGAATTTATCATCGAACAAAAAATCGATACGACGAATTATAAATTTCCATTAACCGTTGAGATAAATTACGAATGTTCAACGTCCAAAACAAAACCTTTTATCGAGAAATCGTTTTGCTCGGTATTTTATTTCTACCAGAGTTAAGAGGTCTTTGACACAGATCGCGGGCATGTGCAGAAAAATAATGGTAATAATAATGATAACGAGATTGATATATCCTTTCGTTGTTCGTCCTATGAAATTGACGCAAATGATATCGAACGAGGTCATTTCAAGGGAAAGGTTCTTATCTCTTGAGTATTTTACTATCACGCTACTACTATAGAGAACGATAGGATATTACATTTATTTTTATATTTACCAATGATTAATTTTTAATTTTGATTCTTGATCATTCTTCTTTTACAATCTTGATTCTTAATCTTTCTTAAAGTACTTTGCAATGTTTAACGAATTTACAAAAATCGAATTTATCACACGAACGGTTTAATGCTTCAATGCAGTTAAGCATTTCTGTGATCGAATCGAGTTCTCAAAGTACTTCATGAAGCTTAGAAGCTTAGAGCTAGATTAAAAAAAATCGAACTTATCAGGTGAACTAATCGGACGCAGTTAAAACTTTATGTAATCGAATTGATTTATATATATATTATACATATATACTGTTAGAATTTTCTGACACAACTGAATATTGACGTCGATTCGTGAGTAAAGTTGCAAAATTATTTTTAAATGAGATAAGTGTGACTTGTAGATTAGCACATTCTCGACCGCAAGCCTCGAAGCAACTAGTAAATAAAATTAACATTAAATAATGAGGCGATGGTTACTTTGTAATTAATTGAATTCGTGAATGTAATTTCAAATCCGTAATCTACGTTAAATGCTGATGTTTTGCTAAAAATAAAACATATTTTAAGAATTTGCCATTTCGTATCATTGCTTTTTGAAAAGATTACAAAGTGCAATTTGTAATTATTTACAATAAAAGTTGCCAAGTTTTATCTATTCCAGAACTTTCATAAAATGGCTATCGCCATTATATTATACTTTGGACTGGACATGGATTGCATTATTATTATAAACATTGGAAATATATTGAAAACGTGTAACGCGTTATTAAACGAAATGTAGAAATTTCCATAATCAGTCTGCAATATATTAACACTGAATAATCATTTCATTTTAAGACATCATTCGTGAATTGCAACAATGGCTAACGGAGTTGTTCCTTACAGTTATCTTGGAAAATAAATAATAATTAAATTTAATTATGAAAAATAAATTATGAATAAAATTAAGTTATTGAGTTGAATCGATCAATGTTGGATTAATATTCATCCATTTTAATTCTTGTCGCGCCGCGTTCTATACATCATTGTTGATGATCAGTTAAGCGTATCATTGGCTCAATAATAATCGTTCTATTCAATTGGTCTTGCAACTTCTGAACAACAATACTTATTTTCTCAAGTGGTACTTAAATTCGTATTATTATAATTTGCATTCTAAAGGCTATCAAACTTTTTTAAACATTTGCACGTTATCTAATTGGAACAGAAACGTGGTTTAAGAAATATTAAAAATTATATTGTGAATACAAAATTTGATCGATTATGAAATATTATTGATTCTTCGTATCTTACTTGCTAAGATCGGTTTTTTAGGATTTTCTAGGATTTTCTAGGATTGAGTTGTTAAACTAGATGAGAAACACGGAGATAAACAGAAGGTCTTACGTAAAAATTACTGAGCTATATACGTTAGTCTGTTATTTACGTAACAACTCATATGAGAGGCTTAATTTCTGCTATTATAAATGCTTATAACCTCTCGTTTAATCTTCCACGAGCTTTTGGAGATTAAAACTAAATTAGAGAAAAGAGTAGAAGTTATTAAGAAAAAGTTATTAAGTAATTAAGTAGAAGTGTTCCAAAATGTTGCATTAATGCAAGCGAAGTATTCTTAATAATGCATATTTTAAATTAATCATAGTTCCTCTGGGAGAATTGTCCTGTAAACCGACATTTTTCATTTCTTTCGAAAAAAATTTCAAAAATATATGTGTAAAAACCCAACATTTTGCATGAATTATATAATTCACAACCTAATACATTGCAAAACCCAAACTCAAAATTAATAGGTATTCCCATTTTTTGTACTATTTATCATCTTGTTTCACTCTGCAACTCCTTAAATTATCGAAGTTTTTTCGATTAACGCGTTTTACAATTATCTCATAGCTTTCTCATGGCATAGATAACGTTCATTTTCTTGGAAATGTACGATGAGAAGTTATTGGTATCTTGCATGGAAGAATCATTAATGTCGGTAATTAGAAAATTAGGGAAAGATAATGGAAAAGATAAGTCACGCGAGATACCATGATTTGTCAACCACGCAAATTCTATAAAATTCTCGACTGTTGCACAACTGGAAAATAAGTAAATGCAGTGAGACAAGTACGCTAAAGTAATAGCCATAGACGGAGGCGCGGTGGCGTATTAGAAAGGTTTGCGTAACTCGAAATACCGTGATATTATCACGCTAAACGCAGCTTTACGTAAACCTTTTGATGACATTTCAAGGCTTAATTTAATTATTCCTCCTTGCTCTTCTTCCCTGTAAACCTTCATCCCAAACCGGTTTCGATATTGGTCACATACGAGCGGCTTCTCAGCGATAGTAGGATTGTTTCAGAAAAAATGTCTCCTGATTTACTAGCATTTACAATAAATTTTATTCTTTTGCTCATTCGTTATCTTCGTTCTTTAATTGAGGACTGACTTTAGAAAAGATATGTTGTAACGATGTATATTTTCGATTCTTTTATTTTGATTATGTGTTATAGACTCGCTTATGCGGAACAAGTTGGGAATTTTCCGTTTAAGATAATAGTAAATTGCATATTCATAAGTGTAAAATTGTTGAATATTTATTGTTTGCTGAGAGAACATTTTATTTTGTTGTTAGAGAAGTTAGCGTTATCTTGTAATCAGATTTAATGTGTTTACGCTGATATTTAGGTATAATCTGAATTCATATTATTGAAAGTTTCTTATTAATTGAAAAATTGATCAAAGATGGTATCACATATTTTATCTATCATTAATTTCATTAAATTTCGTCCATCAGAATATGCTGCTTGGCTAATCATCAATTTCTACTTGTCTGATAACTCAACGTAATAATTAACATTAAATTGTTAGGTACTTCCCAATAAGGACGAGTCAACTTTATGATTACAGTAATCTTTTAAATACCTAATATGCTAATAATTAACTGATCACGTGTACGTCTATAATCGATTATACATTTTAGTGTCTATTCATTTGCATGCAGCCATTAGCAATTATAATAGTTATAATTACGGATTCAAACACGAAAATAGAAGTTTATCATGAAAAAGACACAGATCTTTATATAATGTAGAAATTTTATAATTAATATATCGTGTATCTTTCAAAAGAATTAATAGGATTGTAATCTCTTTAAAAATTATGATGGCAATAAATAATAAAGAATCTACTCGAAGTAATTTACAACACTCTACATAGTATACTCTGATGCAAATTGAATTTTGTAATTATTTAGCAAACAAATTGTTTTTTAATTTATACTCTATCGAATTAATCGATAAATTAAGATTTTGCGATATAAAGTATCTCTAAAATATTCGTTTGCAGATAATTATGTCGCTGTGCGCGAACTCCTCGGTTTTGGGTCCTTCCATGGCTTTTGGCTATAGCGGAGTTGCATTGACACCTTTGATGTCACCTACCAGTGACGTGAAAATCGACAAAGTTCAAGCCAATTGGATAGGTCAGTACTACCTCGATAATTTCGATGAATTTAATTCCATTAATTTATTTAACACGGTAATATTCAACAAAGCGAATGAAAGAAAATTTTTAAAGCAATTAAGGAATTATTTACTAGTATTTCATTTGATTTTTCTCGAATTAATTAAATATACTTTTGGATATTCTCTTGTGGTAATATATGGATAAATTTATACAAATTATGAGCAAACTTCGAAAATATTGTTTATCGAATAAGGATTAGGTGGAATAAAATAACGAACGTTAGTCAAAATGCAAAGTATCAATTCATTGGGGACCAACGAGCGGTTTTTCACAATATTACGAATGCTTTAATTCTTTCAAATTTCATAAAATTGTAGAATTTAGGCGGAAGACATACACAAAAAAATATATATATATATCTATACATATACATATATTGAACGAATATTTGAAATTCGTAGCCATAGTGTTAAAATACAGAGTTCGATGATGTATTGTAAATTGCTTGAAATATCGCAGCGTTGGTCCTAAATGGATTGAATTATTTCCAAAGTAAGAACTAAGCTAACCTGTGCGATCTTCTTCACCGAAATTAATAATCCAATTGCATAATCCATAGCGACAGCAACGGCACTAGGTATTCCATTTGGTTGCATCGTTTCTGGTTACACTATGAGACGCGGAAGAAAGTTGAGCTTGTTGATAACGTCTATCGTGTCCATCGTTGGCTGGCTCGTCATTTATTTAGCTGGAACATACGAACAAATTCTTGTAGGCAGAATCATTTCTGGAATCGCGACAGGCATGGCCTCGGTACCAGCTACAGTTTATAGCGCGGAGGTTTCTTCTCCAAAATGGCGATCAATTATGATCACATGGACCAGCGTATCCATCGCCATCGGTGTTCTTGTCGTTTATATTTTCGGCTATATTTTCAAGGTAAAGAAAGTTATGTATGTAATTCTCTTTCTTTAAAAAGTTTTGTGATATATGCATCTGCTTAAAAATCTTAGAACAGTTATATTTATAGCTTCAAAATTGGAAAGAATCAAGTAAAAAGATATTAAGAACTGCGTAGAATTAATATGGTTAAGAAATTAATCAGGAATTTAAAATTCATACTCTATACAGAATACTAAATTCTTATGAAAAATAGAAATTTTTGTAAAGAATAATCCACAGTCTAGTAATCAGGAATCAGAGTTCGACTCACGATCTTTCTCTCCCAAAGGACGACTGGCGAATGGTGGCTCTGATGTGCGCCCTGTTTCCTCTGGTCTCGACCGTACTGACCTTGGCCGTCGTCCTAGAAACCCCGATCTGGTTACGAGACAGAGGTCGTCTAGACGAGGCGTTACAGGTGTTGAAAAAATTCCGCGGCATCCCAAAAGACGTGCCTCCCCCGCCACAGCTCTACGAAGAATTGAAACCACGTCCTCAGCGAAAAAAACAAAATTTCATGAAACATATGCTCAAGAGGAACGCCATGGTACCTTTTGCAATCCTGCTCGGTTATTTCTTTTTCCAGCAATTCTCCGGACTTTTCATCATCGTCTACTACGCAGTGGACATTATACAAAGCGCTGGAGTCACTATAGATCCTAATTTGGGGGCAGTTTTGATAGGGTTAACAAGATTAGTAGGTACTTTACTGGTGTCGTGCATGTCAGAAAAGTTAGGAAGGAGAAAACCTTCTATCGTCTCTGGATCTGCAATGACAATTTTCATGGGAGTATTGTCTGTGTACTTATTATTGAAGGATAAAGGATATTCTATAAACGATGGTGGCCTGATACCTGTGATATGTATACTTATGTACATTTTTGGAAGCACTCTTGGTTTCTTGGTGATCCCATTCGCCATGGTGGGCGAAGTGTATCCAACGAAGGTTAAAGAAGCGTTATCAGGATTGACTACGTGTATCAATTACATCTTCAGTTCCATCACGGTGAAAACCTACCCGGACATGGAGGTCGCCATGGGCAGACATGGAGTTTTCATATTTTTCACGGTGCTGTCGTTTTTGGGAACGTTATTTGTGACGTTTTTCTTACCCGAGACTAAGGGAAAGACTTTGAGCGAGATCGAAGATATGTTCTCGAGGAAGAAGGAAGTGGTTGACACGCCGGAGGAAGAGAAGATGGTGGATGGTAAATATGATATATGTTTCTGGAGGAAACTATAGTTACTTGAAGGTTATACGAATTATTTAGTAAAAAAAGAAATGATGGACTTTTTGAAGGCGGAAAAAAATGATATCGAGGGATTTTATTTATATATCTGAATATCAATGCAACGGTGAAAATACTCTCAACTTTGTCTAACTCGTAACAATTTTTTTCATGTTTGCGAAAAGTTTGAGTACAAAGATTGGGAATGTTAGAAAGGGTTGATCGAGATTTTCATTCGTTAAAAATATCAGCCCTTGCAAATCTAGCTTCCTTATTGAGTTTATAACTGTTAATTAATCTATCAAACCACGTTGTAACTGCCTGTCATCCTGCCATCTATGTTTATTTTCTGTTAAAGTAATTTAAGAATATACTTATTTTTATACCTTTAATAAATGTTAAATATTATATGTATTATATTAAATAATAAATGTGGAATATTATATGCATTATATTAAATAATAAATGTTAAATATTATATAACTGCCTTCGAATGTTGAACCATCGATTTGTAATTGAATTACACTTAAGTGAAGTGCTAATATTTTTAACGGTATATAACAGTGTCTACTGCAAGCGTGATTATGATTTATTTCGTATCGAATCAGAGTTATCATTCTGTTATCTACACTTTCGTATCCAAATGGATATAGGGCGGAATTGTGACAATAAGTCTTACTTGATAGTGATTATGCGAATGATAAGAGACGTCAAAGTCAAGTAACGTGGTTGTTAGTTTCCACTTGACTGCTCGTTCCTCAGTTAACGTTTTGGTAAAAATTTCGTAAAATCTAGTAAAATTTTTAACACGATGTGTTCTTCGTTCGCAAGAAAGGTAGGAAGAGGTTACTGAAAGGAAGGCTCGTTTAACGGGAGAGAAAAATATAAAAAAGAAGTCTTATTTGTCGCTTTTATTATTAAAATCTTAAATAATAAATTAACAAATGTCGTAACAATCGCAATAATTAAATAACAAACACAAAATAACGTACGGACGTGGAAGTACGAGATACGGGGTGGTGGAGAAATGTGATGATAAAAAGGGGGATGAAAACTCTAACTGCTGATAATAGTGATGATAATAGTAGCAAGCAGAAATATTATAATAATAATATAATGTAATATAATATAATAACATAATAATAATAAGAAGAATCAATGCTTAATAGCGTAAAAATAAATTATTATACGTGAGCGTAGTTCTCGCGGGCAAACCGACTTTTCTCTTTGAGAAAAATCATTCAGTCGTGTAATAATTGATAATTATAATAAAAAAGAGAAAGAAAAAAGAAAAATCGATTTCTCTCGTCTTACGCGGGACTCGTCCGTTCTGTACCATTTTCCCACCACTTTTGCACCATAAAAATATATATATTTTTAGTTAAAAAAATATGTATATATTTTTCTTCATTGAATCTTTTTTCTTTTTTTGAAACAACGATCAATTGGTAAGGTGCAAATAATCGGTCAGATTTGCGCTAAGGGAAATATGGAGCGAAAGAAAAGGAGAAATATCAAAGATGAAAAGAATGTGAGAGGAAAGAGAAAAGGAATGTGCGTCGAGGATCGCGTCGAGAAACGAGAATTAACAAACTTTAAACGTGTTGTACGCTTCGGTGCGATGTTCTCGTTAATATTTTCTTCGGTCATAAAGGAAAAAGGAAAGAAATATGTAAAACCGATTTTACACTATTCCGCACGAACGTTGGTCCAACATTGGAAAAATTTCGTCGCTTAGTCCTTGATAGTCAATATTGGATCAATGTTGATGCATATATCGGTCGAGTATTCGGAATACCGCAAACGATGGATGATCGATAAGCTCGTGCGATGAATTCACACCCTCTTGGAGTGGCGCGAGGTGTTTTCGTTCTGATTTCACGCGATCGAAACGATTAACTTGAAATAAAATCGTCTCGTTTTCTCCGTGCTTACCGCTCACGTTCTCGCGTCTCGTCTTTCGAACAAGCAGTTATCAGACGATGGTTTGTACGTGATCGTTCGATTAAACAAAAGAATCAGTCTCGGTCATTTCTGATCCGTGGATCTTCGTGGATCACCCGTCGATTCATCGTATTCCCATGAAATCGATCGATATTAAAAATTCAAGTTAATATTATCCTTGATGTTAATATTTTATACAACGTAATTTTATGTATGTTGATGTTAATCATTTTATGTAACGTTTTATACATTAACATCAAAGAAGCAATCGAAAAGAATGAAATAAAAGAAGAAGAAGAAAATGTTACAGTGAGTGGATTGATCAATAGATCGATTTCCAGGAAAATATATTTAGGACCATCATCCGATAACGTATTAATTGAATGTAAATCTTCGTCTTTTTATAGCAGAATTTAATCCCTTCTTGAAATCTTTCAAGATGAAGATACTACGTTCTTAAGCCTTGTTTACATCACGTAACTTTTGGTCAATCACCTCTGTAAGTGTAATATCAATCGAGTAAAACTTTTTCAATCGTTCAATTGGAGTTTGAATATTCGGCGACTGGACTCTCTTGTACGATAATTTACTAATTAATAATATTATTGAATTAGCAGTTACAAGATGTAGATCGTAGATATTTCTCGTATAATTTTTTAACAAATAAGCAAATCAGATAATTTACTTGTAAAACAAACTTGTTACTGTTATACCAATTTGTCTATTAATATAACAGCGAACTGTAGTTCATGTAAAATTCTACTAATACGTTCAGTATCTTGTAAATATTAAAAGATCAACAGACAGATAATCGTAATTTGATCAGCATCAGCTACGTTCAACGATAAAGTATCGAACAACGATCAAGCTGTAGCGTAAATCTTTTACTTAACCAACACGAACTCAATCGTCCAATTAATTGACCAAAAGTTGCCTAAAGTAAGCATGGTTCTAAAATTACAAGTAAGGCACGATTCTATAAGAAAGAAACAAGAAGATGACCGGTAAGGCTCGGTTTACCTAAGCTGTTCGTTAAAACGATAACTGTTCTTCCCGTAGCATCCCGTGGGGTCAGTCCTCTTCTTTTTCAGTCCAAGTTTTCTCTCCTGATATCGCGGCTGATCGTCTTCGAACCGTTTCAGAGGGAAGTGGGATTATTCCCCGTTGATGGACGATCAACAAAAATTTGCTACCTTAACCATCTAGTAATGTCAGTAAAGCTCTCGTTGCTGACGAAGGTCAAACAGTATCCGACCTTCTTATAAAGCTTTGTCTAAAAGAAAAAAAAACAAATCAGAAGCCTCTCTTCAGCTGGTCCCTCCCAAATTTCCCTGAAGCTCCTTCTTGATCGTGGACCAACGATCCATTATGGTTGCCCTATCGTTGAAGTCTCTCTCATTGAAGCTTCGCCGAAGCAACCGAAGTCTTCGTGTCAGCCCTTTCTTCCCAGGCCAACGTCCGTACCTTCTTCGAGGCCCTACCGTCGTTCAAATCGAAATTTGAAGGTCATCTCAGGCAGGGCCAGGTTTCCGATGGGAATCGTATAATTCTCGTTCTTCACGGGTACTATCGTGAAGTTCTTCAGCAACGTAGCTAGAATGGCGAAGCTCAGATACTGCACCAGTTTGTAGCCCATGCAAGATCGTCGACCTCCACCGAATGGCAGGAAGTGTTCTGGCTTCAGTAACCTTCCATTCTGGACGAATCTGTCGGGCATGAATTCTTCTGGCGCGGTCCACAGGTCGGTAGACATGTTTAGATCGTAGTTGTTGAGGAAAATGAAGGTGTCCTTCTTGATTCTGTAGCCTGAAAAGAATAACGAGATCAGATTAGTTTAAGGTCGATAAAAGGAAAGAAAGACAAGAGGAAGAAATGGAAAATTTTGATTAGAGATTCTAGTTCGATAATTATTAAATGAGATGTTGTAAATGGGTCGCGGATATTTAAAACGATGTCTTTTTAAAACGATGCAAATCCTCTTTGTTTGCTATTATGAGAATTATTATTTTACATTCGCAAAAATATGACATTGCATGAAAATCCGCGATTTAATACTGAAACTTACCAGCAATGGAGCTGTCCTGATTAGCCACATGAGGAACAATAGGGCTAGCAATTATCCTAATAGTCTCCAAGATGATAGCTTCGACATAAGGCAAGGATCTTCTGTTCTCCAGCCCAACGAAGATTCCAGCGATACCAAGAGAATCGATCTCTTTTTGAGCTAGCTTTTGAACATCTGGCCTTGTAGCGAGGAATCCTAAAACCTTGACGAGGAGATTTCCAATGGCAGTGTGTCCACCAATTATATCTTCCATGACGAACAACGCTGTATTCCAGGACATCTCGGGTTCTGCTCCACTCTTGACGTGATTAATCAGACAGTCTAGATAATCTTTTTCAGGAACGATGCCATTCCAGGCGTTCACTCTGTCAGAAATGATGTCCTTGATAACGAATTTTCTGATTTCGTGGCTCCAGTGCGCCATTCTTGTCATATTTCTGTGATGAAGAGGCATAAGGAAAGGTAGAAAATCGGCTGCGTAACCCTGATTCACTTCGAAGAACACCTTGTCGAAATTCTCGACCATGTACCGGAAACCATCGTGTTCCAGGTGGAAGTTCTTCGAACAGAGGTAAGTGATGAAGATGTTCGCGCAGGAATGAAGGATCAATGGTTTCACGTGCACGTTTACGTTCGAGAGAGAGTCCAGATGATTGATCAGAAGGTTTAGTTCATCACCAATTATCCCATTTAGCTCGTTATAGCGTGTGGAGAACGCGCGCGGGAACGTGTGCGAGCGGAGCATCTCTCTTCGAGTCTTCTGCACTTCGGACCAGTTGCAAAATGCCAGAGCTGGAAAATAAAAAGAAGAAAATGTTTTTTAGGTTTTTATAAAATTATATTACACTTTGTTGCAAGTAATTTCCAAGGAAAAAGATTTTCACTGTGAAAAATTTCCAGAGAGATAACATTTTATAGGAAACGTCGAGGAAAAACATTTACTGTAAGAAATTTTTGGAAGGAATATTTCCATTGCAAGAAATTTCGAAAGAAAAGATTCCTATTACGAGAAATCTCGGGAATGGAATTTTTACTGTTAGAAATTTGCAGAGTAAAAAATTTGAACTACGAGAATCTCGCAACGAAGAATTTCTATTGCATGAAATTTCAAAAGAAAAGAACTTCGGATATTTAAATATCCTTTAAACAATAACATTTCATTTTTCTGTAATTTATTGAAACCTTCTTTTAAAAGAACAGAAGCTCGTTTCGAAATAATTTCCTCTCGAACAACCGGTTGATAGGGACAAATTAATAACGGACATGTCGATCGGCGATTTGGTGATTTTCATTGATCACCATCAAGGCAAAATAAAGATGATCACGATTAAACTTGACCTTCCAACGGCACTTGATGACGCAAATAAGACACGCGTTTCGAAATATCGTTGACTGGCGAAAAAAAAGAAAGAAAAAAAAGAAAAAAATGGAAAAATTTTGTTGACGCGTACTCTTTCTCCTCTCCCTTTCCGTTGTCGTTCTTCCTCTATCTCTCTTTCTCCGAGACGGGGGAACGCGTACGCGGAAATGCAAGCATCGGCGGATGCCGGGATCGAGCGCAGTCGGCAGAAAATCGATTCATCGCCGCGCGAGCAAGGCGACTCGATTTCAAATCGAAGCGGTCGCGGGGCAGACCAGAACAGGAAGTGACCTGGTTTCTCGCAACTCGCCAGGACATACCGCTCGGTAACTTGGTTCCCTGAGACCCGAGAAACCCAGGATTTTTTGTTCTTTTACAAAACAATGTCGTACAATTTAGTACGATATAACATGGACAATTTTTCGATACTATTAGGTAGTAACACGAAATATTCGAATTTTACATATTCATACTTTACTAAGTTCTAGAAAGACTTAATGAAATGAAAATTATGTGTGAAAGAGAAAAATTTCAGCTTTAAAATGGTATGTCTACAAGGATAAAAGTACTGCGCAAATGATGCAACAAAATGGCACATCTTATACGTTACGATTTATGTAGGCTGATTTCATTTGCAGTGGACGTACAACGTTGACGAGAGGTGCTTTGATTGTGAGAAAACGTTAACAAGACGTGCGAAATTATGAGAATGGAATCTAGTTGCTGGATCTAAGCAGAGAATCACGATAATTAGACGCAAAATTTTCCCTTTCATACAATTATTCTTACTAAAGAATGAATCGAACTGATGTACTTCAATCGAAATGAAAAACAAGCATAGTTTCTGGATCTAAGCACAAAAATGCACTATGGTCGGACACAGAATTTCTCCTGTCATAGTATTGCTTCTTGACATGTAACTAATCAAACTTGTGAATTCGAATCGATCAAAGACAAGTCTAGTTTCTGGATCTAAGCGCAAAATAATAGTGAGGACGAGACGTAGGAAGCGAAAGAGAGAGAAAGAAAATGGTGCTGAGTATCGGAATCGCCTCCGGTGGATCAGCCTTGATCCTGTTTGTCGGCTGCCAGGTGAGCCAGGAACGCGTGAAAGTGGTACCGTGACCTTTCCGGCTTGCACTTGGTACCGCTTCGGCGTTGACCTTAGCACGAGTTTCGGGCATTCCGTGGACGCAACGAAAGCACGAGCCACGCGAAAAATAAACGGGCTGCGGTTGTGTGGGCCGGCCGCTCACGTGTCGCGTACGACGGCAAGGTCGTTAGCATGGGGAACGAGTTTTCAGCAGCCGTGACGAGGTGTCGACGAATTCAATTTTCACACTATCTCACGATTCCACCCGTACCGAATCCATTTTTTCCTAATGTTTAACCGGATAGCTACATAATTTCATTCAAAAGACGCGTGACATCCTTCTAAACACGGTGGCAAAATACATAAAACGGGTCTCGAAGGTTTACGAGACGATACGAAGCAGAGAAACGATTACGTAACACTTGGACACGAGTTTTTCGAATAATCAAAAATAACTAACGAGGTAGTCTGCATGGTGAACGAGTTGTCAACTGGCTGAACGGCGCGTCTTATTTATTTCGATTCGTCAAGATCGTGGAAATTTAATTTTCGGTTATGCACTGCTTTTTAAATGATTTTTAAGAAACAGTGTTTAATTTCGGGAACTTTTCACGCGACGAAAGAAGCCCTCGTTATGTAAATATCGAAATAAAAACAGAAAAATGTTACAAATTTATAAAAAAAGTAAAATTTTTCTCACGACGAAAATTTTCTTGTTGATGAAAAAATTTATTCATAAGAAATAAAGGAAGAACAAACTGAAAAATCTTGAAAAAAAAGACAACGCTCGATCCTGGCAAAATTTTCTCACGACAAGAAGAATCTTCGTGGTGTCAAAATCGAAATGAAGAAGATAAAGGAAAGATAAGATAAAAGAAATATTCTTACAGTTCTCCTTGTTTCCACCGAAGAGCAGATGGTATCTGGTGAAATTTGGCCTGGAATCGAAGTGGTGTCCCTTGATGGTCAGCACTTCTCTGATGTTCTCCAGACCATTGACGACCACGCAGGGCACGGATCCCATCCTGAGCTTGATCACCTGACAGTCGTAGTCCCTAACAAGATCAGCGAAAGCTTTGTAGGGTACGTCGTAGCGTCCCAGGATGTGAAGGGAGCCCAGAATCGGCCATGGTTTGGGTCCAGGTGGTTCCGGCAGGACGTTATCGTCCAAGATGACATTCTTCGTCGTTTTCTTGGACCTTAGATGATCCAGTAGGATCAGGACGAGTGCCAGGAAGGTGACAGCGATTAGGAAGCACGTGGTGGCTGTCAAAGGGATCATCTTCGACCTTGTTTCTCTTCGTCGATGCACTCACTGACGATCGTCACCGATGTTTTCGTGTTATGTCTCGTGTGAAGAACCGTGGTACCCCGACCTAGGGTATCTGGATCGCGAGAAGGGTCTCTTCAAAAGGAAATTCTCTGAGCCTTTTCGACTTTTCAAAGCTTGGAAACTTTGTGGTACGTGCGATGTTATCGCGGTACCGAACGAAACTCTTTCAAAGATCGTGTATTATTGAAAATGCCGAAATATCGTCAGGCTAAGACGTATCTTGAATATAAATCGTAAAATGTGTAAAAATCCGATCACCTCCCCCGATGAAATCGAACGTATCGAATAATACCGGTGAATTGGTTTCCTCGACGAAAACTGGCTGATCTAACCCTGTGATCGGCTGAGTTCGCGAAGTGGTCCGTGTTAACGAAAAAGATGTGTCGTGTCTGAAGTATCGGTAGATCGGTTCGTTGGTCCGTCTGTGAACGGTCTGCCGATCTGGCTCGGTCTGTGGGGATAGGATGGTTGGCCGGCTATCTTATATAGCGGCGTAATGTAGTCAGCACATTTGCGTCGCCTGGTGCGCCTCTCAACCCCATACATATGGATTCGTGTTGAGACGAAAGGGGGAGGAGAAGTTGGTCTCTCTGTCGTACACTCTGTCGTAAGTGTATAACACACAACCCGGTGTGTTGCTGCTGGTGCTGCTGGTGCTGCTACTGCTGGTAGAGAGACGAATTTCAAGAAAGCACCGAGAGAGCCGACGGCTCTCCGACA